TCTGATCCAGCCTCTGAAACAATTGACATTTTAAAACAATTGTAAATCTTTTGTATACCACAATGGCAAAAAGCATTTTTCTAAAGATGAACCTGTTTGCAGACTGAAATATGAATTATCATGATGACTGAAGTTAGTAGTAAACCCATGCATGCATCACTGTAATGCATGTATGCCAGTCAATGTAGAATATTAGTTTAAAAGACATATTTCCTGCCCTTGTCAGCTCATGATATCTGCTGATCAGTCACAAGGGCACTCTTAGTATGCTTTCGTCATGTTATCAAAACAGCCTTGAGCCATTTGCGCATAGATATTGGACCTCTAGTGAATAGAGGGTGAAAGGGCGGCACAGAAGGGAATAACGAAGGGAGTCGACTATCCACCGGATTGCCAAGTGAGCTATTTGCCAATATGCAATTATATTTACAGATTACAAAAGTCTTCTGAAGTCTATCTGCGGTAATTCAAATACTTAGAGTCTCTTTTTACAAATCCATTGTTTTTTCTGGTCACAGTTCACTGATTTAAATCCTTCGTTTTGGACAGAAATTACACAGAGACCATCAGAAGGAGGCTGCTGAATCCAGGAGCTGAGGAAAAAAAACAAGTTTGATTAAAGCTGATAATTATTGGTATAAAACAAAATTGATTCATCCCAGATTTGGAAAAATATTATTAAATTGTTATTGACTCAAAGTTTCTCTTACTTATCAGTCAGATAACTTCCATCCACCCATTTCCATTTCCCACCTTCAGCTCTCAGACCGATCCAGTATCCATTTTCTCCTGAACTCTTCCAGCTTTTGTCACTGATATATTTCTGATGAAAGAGAAAGTTATCAGAAATACTCAAATACTTTACTTAAGGCACTGCAACACAGAGTGTGATCAAAAGAAAATGTATTTTCATTAAATAAATCTGTGCTAATGAGCCACAGTTCTTATTACCTTTTCTGTTGCATTAATTGCAACGGCCAAATCGGAAATTTTTCCTTTGCAGTTTTCTCGAGCTTCTTCCCAGGTTTTCTGCTCACCAAGTTCAGCATCATTAATTGCATAGCAGTTTGACTCAAAGTGGAGCCAGCCCTCCCGACAAGTGTTGCAAACCTTTTCTGCAAGTAAAAAAAGAAGTAAAAATAAAATAATAAAGATCATCAGTGCACATTTATTTGACATTACCTATTTTTGTAGCTGATAGAATTGGAGCCTACTGTTATTTTCTTTGGGACAGTAGGCATCAACACTGCACTGACCTGGACCAAGACTGAACTCCATCTTCATGAGTTTTATTTGTTCTGTTAGGTTCTGGTTTTCTGCAATGAGGTCTCTGATCTGTGTTTCAAAGGCAGTGGAGGTGTTTGTCCAGTTGAGTTGACTCCTCAATAAGTCTTTGTTCTTATGAATTAACAATGTGGTAACTGAAAAACAAAACGTAACACTTCTTTGGCTTTACACACACATTGCGGATGAACTAATTTTAAAAGTTATACTCACAATAGATGCGAAGGGCCATGATCAGTAACAGAATACCCCAGCAAATGGTTACTGATGTACAAGATTGTATACATGCACACTGCTTATCTAGGAGAAATAAATACTTATTATAGCAATCAAACTAATTCTTAAGTTTAAGATTTTAAATTGGTTGTGTCAACTAGCCCCTTGGCTTTTTATAATCATAAAACCATTCTAATTAATGAACTTTTTAAATTATTGTCTAGGGAAAAACATAACAATCCAATTGAAAAGGTTCAGAGGCAAAACCAAGGTGAAGCCCATATTATGGATCAAACTTCAATAACAGTGAATCCTGTACATATCAAAACGTGATTTGAGAGGATGTTGTCATTAAGCTCTTGTAAGGAAAATGCCAACAGCACACTTCCAGTTTCTAAGCAAGTTTCATATCAGTTCCTGTCGTAACAGTAGCAGTGACTGCTGCTATTGTTTTTCTGTTGAGGTCACTGTCATTTGCAGATTATGAGGCACCAAATTTTCTACCCTTCCAGTTTGTAAGACAGGCTGGTTAGTACTTTGCATGATGCCTTGTAGTAAAAGTAGTGGTTTTGATTTTGCTTTG